GCCCTAATCATAGTGCACAGAGCAGGAGTGAGAGAAGTCAGGGTTAACACTTGGGGCAACAGTGGCTCAGTGGTTGGAGCAGTGGTCCCCCAACATGAAGGTCAGAGGGTTGATTCCTGCTTAGACTCAGTTCTGTCCCTGTGCAAGGCACTTCACCTGCTGTGTGTGTGTGTGTGTGTGTGCGTGTGTGTGTGTGTGTGTGTGTGTGCCTGTGTCTTTGTGTCTGTCTTTGTGTGTATGTGTGGAGCTTGGCAGCCTCACTTGCGTCAGTCTGTCCCAGGCAGCTGTGCTAACAATAGTAGCTTCCCACCGCTCAGTATCGAGTGAATGAGTAATGAGTACAGTGTAGAGCTTTGAGGGGTTTTGCAGGTCTGAGTCCAGAACAAACTGACTGAGAATGCATTCAAGTTTCACAAAAGTACAAATACAAACCTCTTCCATTAAGTCTCTCAGTTTTACCTGCCTAAAATCAGGTGCAAACACTTTTAAATGAGGTTACAATGTGCCGTTTTGCAGTCCTGTAGACCAGAGCCCGAGGCTTTTGCAATTAAATCTGCACATTACAAGAGTAAGTCATTATTACATATAATTATTACCTGTTAAAGGAGTTGAGTGGTTTGAAATAAACATTATAATTAAGTATTATTTAAACAATGCTTTACACATGTATTGTGTTTCACAAGGTTTACAACCCTCTCCACGTGCCACACTGTGATCATTCATTCACTCCTTACCCATCGTGGTATTCTATTAATGTAGCCACAGCTGCCCTGGGGCAGACTGGTGGAAGAGAGGCTGCCAATTTGCACCATTGGCACCCCAACCACCACCACACCACATTCACATTTGACAAAAGTATCTTGCCCAAAGACACAAAAGACTCAGTATGCACTGGACAGAGCAGGGTTCAAACCGCCGACCTTCGTGTTGGTGAACGTGCTCTCGATTCTGCTCCAAAAATAAAACTACAGTAGAATGTAGATTTATGGCATTGGGCAGATCAATAAATATTACATTATTACATTTTTGTCGTATTTCTCCTTTTCAGACGTCACAGATGCATGTGTTTATTTACCTGTGTAATTTTGAGAAAAGCTGCCGTGTTGGAGATCACATTTCCATGAGTTAACATAGCACCTTTTGGGTTCCCTAAAAATAAAAGCAAAATCTTGTAATACAATAAAGTTTTTTTTTATTATTTTATTGAAACTATAACTGTCTGTAACTGTCTATAACATCACCTGTGGTTCCAGATGTGAAGCAGATCAGTGCCAGGTCCTCTGATTTGGGAGGCTGTAAACAACAACAGAAACACATCAGCATCAAAACAAAAAAAGAATAAATAAAATGTTATAATAATGAGTTTTAGGAGAATTTTTTCACCTGTGGAGTTTGGTGACTGGTATGTCCTAAAGCCTGAAAAAAAAAAAAAAAAAAAAAAAACATGATCCAAGGATGAGCCAGTGTTCAAACAACTGGGACAATGATGTGTGTTAAGGTCACGATATATGGGTAAGTCTTTTTTCTTTTTTTGATTTAAATGAAGCAGAAATACAAGGGGAACATAAGTTGTATTGATATACTTAGGGAAATTAAAGCCACATGAGCTGACTAGGTAAGGAAGATTTATATCAGGGTCCAGCTCTCCAAAGGACTTCTGAATTATACACATTGTACTGAATTACTGAAATTTGAATAACTACCTGTAAATAACCAACTTTCTGTACTCATAAATGGATAATGATTTATGTTTTATAGATATCTAATTGTTCTGTATCTAAGGTTTTCTTCAATTTCTTGTGATCATTAATGAATAGCTCTTTGGCATTTTCTCTTTGTAAAGGTAGCTCACCAAAAGAAAAAGGTTGGAGACTCAAGATTTAGCCTAATGTTCGTGCTTTTGAAACATACTGGGAACTCAACCAAGGACCTTCTAGATGTGAGGTGAGAGTGCTAGTAACCACTCAGCCAGTATGACATTAAATGATAGTTTAAGTAAAGTACATGTAGCAGAGCAAACTTGTGAAAATCACCTCAAAATCTTTGAAGCTCTGGATGTCAATCCCAGCCTCTGCTCCCAGTTTCACCAAATCATCATCAAACGGCTCAATGAGCACCACAGTCTTCACTGTGCCCCCTTTCAAACTGCCATAGTCCAGAAGCAACCGGACTTTATCGGCTACATCACAGATCACTGTGGAAATAGTGGCTGAAAAAAAAATAACAAGGTTAGTATCACTAAGAGTCAACAGCAAACACGTCATAAGTATAAATACAAACAAATCATTAAAAATACAAACAGATCAGGACAAATACCTTGCTGTAAAATGTAGCCGATGGCCTCGGCACCGAGAGTGTCATACAGCGGTACGGCCACTAGGGAATAAGAGTAACAGGCCAATTCTGCAATGGACCACTGAAAACCAACACATACACATAACAAACATGAGTTTATAACACCAACATACAGATAATGACATATACCTCACTAAAGGGTTAATTTAAAGAGGAAACACTGGATATAAAACAGAAACATGAGCCTTAACTTTAAACTACGTTATTTGAAGTTTACCTCTGGTCTGTTCTGAGAAAAGATTCCAATGAATTTATCTCCGGTTTGTGAGTGTCCTTTGTAAAGAAGAGCAGAGCCAATGCCCTCTGCTTTTATAGCTACCTGAAAGAGTCACAAGTGAAAGGAAATCTGAGAATTATTTTATTTTTATACAGTTTTATGCAATATTCAATCATTATTTATACAATACACTGAACCCAGGATCTGATGGTCTCTAGTACAAATAGACTTTATTTATGTTTAATGAGTCACACTCAGGACTCCACTAAGACCTTCTGAAAACTTCTGGAGAAAATCAGAAATACCAAAACAACACTAAGTATAGGAATATCACCATTTCTGAGTTTGCATTTAGGTGGGCTTGTATCAGTGCCTTAAAATTCAAGGCAAAGCAATAGCCATATATTGCTTTGCCTGGAATGTTCCACCGTATGGCATTTAACCTATCTATACCCATGGAGAAAAGCAGGTGGCAACATCAGGCCAAATGGCAGGTCAGAGCTGTGGAGAGGCAAGTCTGCTCACAGTATTTTTAAACATTAGTCCTTTAGAACTATACACAAAAAGGCCTATTTTATCGATATTAGCCTCTTAAGTTGATGTGTACCTCAGAATAGGACTGCCATTCATAGGGCTGATTAGGTTTTCTTGATCCAAGACATGGCCCATCATCTTTAAAACAGATATATAGTTAAACTCAGACAAAATGAAGAAAATCATCGCAGAACATTTCAAAAGTGACTCACTGGAGACGCGCATTCCTCTCTGAAAGACCTCGTACATGGTGTGTGCATCATCGTAGTAGTGAGTCAGGTACTCATTATCAGTGGTTAGAGTTGACCTTCTGGCACGTTCTTCACCCTAAGACCAAAAATAACAGGGGCTCATTCTACAGACACATGTTACTTTGCAGCTACAGGATGGTGGGGTCTCAAAGTTCAGGAGGGCTTCTTTTAGTCTATTGGCCTTATAAACCTTACAACCTTCTAATATCAACTCTTTGCTTTTAACCTTTCCCTCTATATCTTATAAGCACATTTTTCTGACCGTGGAAACAGTACAATCTAACAAACACAACAACATTTATAAATTAATTGGCACCATAGATATAACCTTAAAATCTTTGAAGCTCTAAATGTCAATGCCAGCCTCTGCTCCCAGTTTGACCAAATCATCATCAAACTCCTCGATGAGCTCCACAGGCTTCAATTTGCAAATTTGACCCACATTTTAAACAAGTCTAAAGATGTCAGAGAATTGTTTACGTCCGTTAGATACCCAAATATTTGTAAATCTGTTTGTTACCTTCCTACAGTGTTTGGTCTGAGTTAAACAGATGAGGTAGATCATCTAAATCCAATCATCCAAAAATGGTCATTGTGTAATCTTTTAACATTACCAAACTTCTTTTAACATTATACTAGAGATGTATATATACCTTGTTGACATGACATTCATGCACATACACACAGATGGTTGGTGACATGTCCATTGGTGACTGCAAAAACCAATATCTAGGCAAGTTAAAATGACTTCAATTAAGAACATTTCCTTTATTTGAGCATATTCAGCTTGACAAGAAAAATGATCTACCAATGGAAAAAGAGTGTTTTTCTTTAGTTCTTCATTCAAGATTGTGCTTCTTATTTTAAGTGCAGAGTTTTGTTTTTTTTTTATCTTAAGTGTAACATGATGTATTTTCATATTTTAAGTCCAAAAAATTTTGCTCCATTGGTAGATCATTTTAATTGTCAAGTGAAATTTACTCAAATTACAATAAGACGTTCTTAGTTCAAGTCATCTTAACTTGGCTAGATTTCAGTTTTTGAGGTGTGTGGAACATTCAAGATTTATAAACAACGTAAATAGTGTAAACAGTATACATGTTTAATCTCTTGAGGGACCCCAAGGAGAGGATACAGATACATGCAGGCAGCTCTATGGACTGCAGTGATACATACGGGCAGCTCTACGGACTGCAGGGAGAGATCGCAGGGCGGCATCAGGGCTCTCGGTCGTGTGGCAAACCAGTAAGTCGTTATGGCAGCGAAAGCACCAACGCCCATCAACGCATTCGTAGGAAGAGCTCGCATGTACTGCCGAACGTCATCGAACTCAGGAATTCGCAGCTGTCTCAGGACTTCCTGAGCCTGCATGATCCCAAATTTTCCTGCGTGGAAAAAGAAAAGCCTGTTACAAAAATCAGAAGTTGAGAAGGTATGTAACAGCACAGGAGAAGAAGAAGGAGAAGAGGAAGAGAGAGACAGAGAGAAAATAGAGTCCAACAGTTGGGGCCTACAAACCACAGCCTCAACCACAGAGAAGCACACTCTTAAACTGTTAATTACTAAGAATGTATATTTTGTAGAGGCTAAAGTTGTGAAAATACTACTTTTTCCTTTAAAAATGCCTTGACGAGCCTTTGGTTCTGTTCGGTTCTTAAACCAAAGAGTTAGGATTTAAACATTATTTCATCATGTAAATTGGACTGAAACAGAGGGAACTACATATATAATAATAATTCTTTGCTTTGTTTCTTTTAGCTATTATTGCACCATAACTATGAAAGAGCAAAGAGACTTGAGATTCAATATATTTTGATGGCCTGTGATATTGAGAGACTTTTGATAGTATGATATCGGAATATTTAGGTTCTTGTTGCATCCCTAGTTATCGCACTAAACTAAAATATTTGGAACTACATAGACCACGATCCTTTGCTCCATTTCAGCTCAGACAGCATGAAGAAATTATGCTATTAAGTACTTATACAGATGACAGAACCAAAGTACTGTCAAGGCATTTTAAAAGGAAAAAGTAGCATATTCACAAAATGTCGCAATCAATATCTTACTGTGATATGCATATTGTGAAAATATTGTATCGAGGGATTTGGATATTGTTACATCCCGACACAATACAATGTAGGACTTCAAGATCTATGTTTATGTTCCTGGGAATGTTTGAAAAGTATTGAAACATTCATTTAAAGGTGCATTGTGTAACTTTTCTGGTGGACAGTCCATCAGATGCTTCTAATTTCAAATGCTCCATGAAGATGTTATTGCCTTGTCTGAATGTTTCACAGTATGGTGTTAAACATTTCTATCTTCATGGAGACCAAACCGGACTAAGTTACAGGTCAGATCTGTGGAGAGGCAACACTGCTCACAGTCAGAATGCCTGTTTTTCTAGGTACTTCTGAGCTATAAAACTATAAATTTTACAAATGTAAGGTAGAGCTGTTTAATCCCATATTGTGGAACATTCTGAGCAGTGCAATCACATACAGACCATCCACCAGAAAAGTTACACAATGCACCTTTAAATCTAAACACAGTGCAATTCCATATTATTCCAGAAGTTAATAACAAATATATTTTCACCAAACTGGATGTATACTATAGTGACACATAGAAATGTGAACAATTTGCCAAGTTGTTCAATCACTTATTTATCACATTTTAATCTTCTTATCGTTTTATTTGCTGCTCCAAAGTTAACAGAGAAAAACTGCAAAAGGAAAATGTGCGTATGTGCCTCTATTTATTGTATTTCAGGTGTGTACTACGTAAACAAAAAGACGATAGTGGCGCTGGACAGCTGTGTTAATGGAAACAAGGACACAGGAAGAGAAACTACAGTGAGGCTGGAGACATACGGACTCAATCACAGGGGCCGCGTCTCATTTCTCTTGCCTCGCTTCCCTTTCCTTGAGTCCTCTCCTCGATCCTCCATTTTTCAGCTGCCGAACAAATGGGTCATATTAAGTGGTGTCCCAAAGAAAACCACCGAGTGAAGGAGTAGACATCAGATAAAATCTTCAAACTTTATTGGTCTCAGTGGCGAGATTAGCTCCTCTCTGCTTCCTGTGTCTCCTCTGTGGGTAGGATTTCCTCAACCATTTCCTTCAGAATCGAGGAGAGGAATCAAGGAGGAGCAAGCGAGGAAAAAGAAATGAGACGCTGCCAGAGTCACGTGCTGTTCTCAGACATTCGACTGAGAGGAAATGAGGTTTCCTGGTCGAGAGATGCCAAATAAATGAGTTCACTGGGCAGACAGTCCAGCTGTGCAACAGATCTACTACAGTACATACTAAAGGATGCAACAATAACAAAAATATCATGATACTGAATCATCAAAAGTCTCACAATAATACCGCGAACCATCACAATATATCAAATTACATATTTCTTTACTTAAATTAAATGTTATGGTGCAAAACTACATATACCATGATCCTTTGCTCAGTTTCAGTTCACCAAACAAGATGAAATAACAGTTTTTAAGCACTTTAAAATCTTAATTATTTGGATTATGACAGAAAAATAGCATATTCACAATTTTGTTTGCTTTGCTTTCACCAAATGTCACAATAAATATCGTACGGTGAGATTTATATTGTGAAAATATCGAGAGATTTGGACATCGTTACATCCCTAGTACAAATAAGGACCTGCTGCTGAGGTCTGAGAAACATGTGGCTAATTGCTCATTTAAATAATTGTAGATTGTTTCTGAGCAACGCTACATTTGGTTATTGAATACTATTACATTTTATCCTTTTTAGGCCGACTTAAACATCAGTCACGGGACTACAGATGAAAAACTTCCTTCGTTACTACTTCTGGCGTATTTATAGAAATGTTCACATGTTCAATAAATGAATAAATAAAGATGTACATATTTAGTCATATGTTTAGATAGTATTGGTGTGCATCATATAGATACAGGGACAATTACTACATGCCACTGAAAAAAAGCCAGTGCAATAGTGTAGCAAATCTTACACAGTGTTTAATGCATGTGTCATTCTTTAGTTGCCTATTACATGAAATATGTGTAGATACAAAATGAACAGATAAACAGACGCATCAACTGTACATTCTTCATCTAAATTATTTTGTATCAGAGTTTGAATAACTTCATGATGTATTTAAATAACTATAACAATGGCAGATACTATATGGGGTACATTGGAGATAGAAGTAAAGTAAATCAGAGCTATTTATTATATGGTCCAGCTTGTATAACTTGTACAAATATTGTTTTAGTCTCCTTCAGCGATAACATGGAGCTGTCACCTCCTTTGACCTCTATACTGACCCTGATCCTAGGTCTGCCCTGTAAGTACAATATTGACTTATTGTTCAATATGATAAATAGAATAACATTTTTTGGAGTCAATATTTATTGTGTGTACATTTTATTTGCACTCCCAAGATTTTTTTTTTTTTAACTATCTGGGCATATGATGACTCATTACAGATGCAAACTAAGAATAAAGTGTTTCATTCTGTTTATTTCTTGCAGCTCATGATTTTTTAACAATATTTTAGATTTAGAACATTGTTTGTGGTTTAAATTTGGCTTTCTCGTATGGATACTTTGCAGTGACATCATGCTGGGGGCGTTCTACATGTATCTCTATTGTGTTCATTAATTGCCAAGGTGACACAATGTACACATTGGCAAACATTGACAAAAAAGTTGAAAGACACAAATATCAAATGGATTTAAACAACAAATCTTCAGGAGCTAGACTGACCGTCAGGTGGGTCACAAGATATTTTTTGGGGGGTCACCTTGTCACGGTCTGCAAAATACAGTTCTGATACATGTTGAAATGTTAAGATATGCTTTGTATAATTTCTAATCTTTTTGTAATTATTTGGTTCAATTGAATGTTGAAAAGAAAAAGAAATGGGCTACATTTAATGTCCAAATAGGCCAATTATGGATACAATTACTGTTTTCATTGTTTAAAACTTGAGTAATACCAATTGTTCAGAGACACGATCACTCAGTCAACAATAAAAAAATCGTCATTAATGTTCAATAATCTTCAAATTCACCTTTATTTTGTGATTTACGAATGATGTCTATTCTGATTTGGGTTGTAAAGGTTTGTGACTTTTAAAATAAGGGTCCCCAGAAAAAAACTGCATTAGAGATTTGTTTAGCAGTACAAAATCAGCTCACCTGTTGCAGTTCCAGCTAAGTAAGCGCTTTTGAGTGAGATTATAGTGTTAAAATAAAGCTCAAATTAAAGTCTAACCACTCTCAGATAAAACAGTGCATACAGTTAGCGTCACATCCCCAGAGAATATTGATGACATGAGCTGCAAAGTATCAGTTTACATATCTTATACTTATGTAACTATTGCATTTGTTTCCTTCAGCGTGAAAGTGAGTTACCTACACGATGACCTGCTTTGATCTCCATACTGGTCATGTTTAGTTTATGAACAGCTATGACAACAATTGACATCTCACCTACTTCTATTATTAACGTGGAGCACATGACAGACTGGTCCAATGCCCACTGGGAGAAAGTATACACATGCTACCTCACAGGGCACCTTCAGTATGGGGCTGCGTAACATATGGCTCAAATACTGAAATCGTAACACCGGTAAACATCCATATTGCCTGACACAACACTAAATACAACCTAATAATGCTAGGATACTTTAGATTTTTTTTTTTATTATGAAATGCAAAAAGGAATAAGTTAACTTGTGATGTCTTTACAACATAATTTGGGCATGTTTTGGTTTTGTTTTAGTGTCAGTTTTAGTTAATAAAGACATTAAAACATTAATATTTTTGTTTAATCTGACTGTTTAATTAACTTTTTGTCAATAAGTATACTAAAATACTGCGATACTAACAGATAGTGTACGTTTTTCTTATACTATATAATGCAGCTTTAGTATATGACACTAAAATCTGCAAGTGGCATGAAATAAGAAGAACTGTAAAAGAAAAAAAAATAGCACAAAACACTGCTTAAGAAAAAGTTCTGCCTGTACAGCATTAACCCCAAATCAAAAATTAACCTTTCACCTAGTTTATAATGTAGGTTTCCTTGTTAGACAGTCTCCAAACATTAAGCACCTCTATCACCTTCACAGTGACGCACATTGGGATTTGGAAAGCATTTTTTGATCTTTACTCACAGTGTTTTTGCGATCCAGAGAAAAAAAAAAAAACGAAAAGCCAGTCCTTAAAGCAGAGAAGAGACTGTATAACTGATCTGTGCAGACCCCTTTGCCACTGCTGTTGCTATTAGGAGAGACACACACTTCGACCTCCAGTAGCCCTCGTGCCACTATGAATAGCAAGAACACGCCCCTTTTTCAAACAGAAACAGTGGCGCGCGAGACA